CACTTAACATGCAGGGCTCACCTAGGAAATGGTGGTCGTGGAGATTGTTTTTTAGTGAGGATGGAGAGGCAGAGAGTTTGATGGATGAGCCTTGGAAGTCATCGTAATTCTTGAGTAAGGCATTGGCTTTAATTAATGTGGTTTTTAGGAAGATTAATCTGGCTGTGATTTGTAGGATTGATGAGGGGAAGAGGCTAAAGATGGGGTTGTGTGAGGAGGCAGCAAGGGCAACCCTGACGTGGCCATCTGAGGAACCGAATCAGGAAGACCAGGGGGAAAACGGGAAAGAGAACGTCTGTGGAAAGAGAGTCCACGGAATTTGATGACTGATGCTGAGGTAGAATGGTATTGGGGATTACTCAAAGATGATCCCCCAGTTGGGGGGGAGCATTGTAGAAACTGGGTTGACCAATGACAGATGGGACTGAGACTCTTCTCTCAGGCAGGAGACCATTAGGGCAAGGACAGCCTGTGGGGTGTGGGGTCCTGTAGTCTGTCTGAAATACTCTTCCACCCCCAGCACTCAGGGCAGCTTACATAGAGCAGAGGCCCCAAAAGTGATGATGATGGATGGAGATGGATGGATGGATGGATGGATGGATGGATGGATGAATGGATGGATGGATGGATGGATGGATGGATGGATGGATGGAGATGGATGGGTGGAGATGGGTGATGGATAGATGATGGATTGAGATAGGTGATGGATGGATGGATATTGGAAATGGATGGATGGATGGATGGATGGATGGATGGATGGATGGATGGATGGAAATAGATGAATGGATGGAGATGGATGGAGATAGGTGTTGGATGGATGGAGATGAATGGATGGTGGATGGAGGGATGATGGATGGATGGATGGAGATGGATGGGTGGAGATGGGTGATGGATAGATGATGGATTGAGATAGGTGATGGATGGATGGATATTGGAAATGGATGGATGGATGGATGGATGGAAATAGATGAATGGATGGAGATGGATGATGGATGGAGATAGGTGTTGGATGGATGGAGGTGAATGGATGGTGGATGGAGGGATGATGGATGGATGGATGGATGGAAATGGATGATGGGTGGTGGATGATGGATGGATGAATGGATAGAAGATCATGTACTTACAAGTAAACTTAAGCAGTGTTATAGCTTTTATACTGCAAACAAGAGAGTAGCTGTTGGTAGGACTTAAATAAAAATATCTGATTTAATCAAGGAAGGAAACTGTTTCCCAAAGTAAAGTTAAAAACTGATTCTCTGTAAGGCCAGAGAGTTAGTTCAGAGCTAGTTCAGGCCAACCCAGTTTTAATCCCCAGCACCATATAAGGTCTCCCAGGCCTTGCCAGGGTTTATTCCTTAGCACAGAACCGTGAACATTCCCTGAGCACTGCCAGGGTGACCCAAAACACAATAAATAAGTAGAAACCATTCATCAAAGAGTAAGAATAGCCCATGCGAACTTAAAGGCACCTACAAAAGGGCTTTTCTAATTCAGAAAACATAAAGGAAACATATTTAAGGTAATAATGGAAAAAAAAGAAGAAGAAGAAAGTCAGGGAATCAACCACCGTGCTGGTACCTATTGTTTTCTCCTTGCCATCCTGGGCAGAGGATAAAAGAAACGCCTTGCTTGCTTGTTAGAAGAAGAAAGCGCTCACTTGAAGTTCCTGCTTGGCAGATGTCAGTTGAAAGCTCTGCTTATGGAGTATGGCGCGGTGTCAAACCCTGTTGGGTGATTCGAGACGAATGTGTCATGTGTGACATGGAATATGGAGCGCTGTACATTAGTGATTTCCCCAGTGTGTGGCTGCGGTCGCGGCGTGCAAGGGAAGTGCTCTTCATCTCTCTGCTCCGGGTACTTGTAGAGCAATGGGGAAGTGCTTTTGGTGGAAATTACTTTAGTCAGAAAAAGAATCCATTTACAATCTGCACCTTCTAACATCTTTCAGACAATGCATTGTATTAAAGAGGCATTTTTTGATTAATGTTTTATAAACACTTTTCAGCCTGACAGCTTAAAGTCCCTGTAAAATTGTAAATGCGCGCAGTGTTCACTTCCATAAAGTCAAATGCCATCTCATAAAGTCTAGCTGGGTCCTGTCAGCCACCGAGACGCAGACTTCGTACCTGCCGTGCATTAAAATTAATCTGCTCTGTGGGTATCACGGCGGCGTTGGCCAGATGAAAAGAAGCCCCTGTTTAAATTTCGTTTAGAGATAACGCTAGTAAAGTTTGGCTTTGGGGGGGCTTGTTGAGCTTCTTCTTTTTTTTTTTTTTCCATTGTTGCTGCTTCCTTCTCCTTAGCAAAAGGGAACATAGATGGGTGGGTTAGGGGGTGAGTCAGCCCTGAGCGACCCGCACAGAGGCAGGAGAGAGCCTGGTGTTGGGTACCAAAGAAGATGGAGACAATGGGTACCCCGGCATCCCCTCGAGGCAGTAACTAGGCTCTGTGCCCCAGGAAGTGCTCCAGGAAGTGCTTCTGAAAGGCTTGCCCTTTCGCTTCCTGGGGCGTCTTGCTTACATCCAGTCCCAGGAAGTTCTTAGAGCTTCTGGGGTAACTGCTACTTGACATTCTCCATGCATGGGGTGAGGGGTTAGGGGAAGGCTCCCTCCCGACCCCAGGGGTGTCTGACCCTCCTTCCTCAGATGTAAGCCAAGCAACCAGCTCACCAACCTCCTGAGCTGGTCGGAAGGTCGGATGCTGGGAGTGTGGACCCACACGCTGAGAGGCCCTGACCCCTCTCGTCACCTCGTCATCCTTATTCATTCTTTGTTTTATTATCCTTGTCGCTGCAGTTTTCCAACGCGGATGCATGCTCTGGTGGGTGTTGCTGCTCTCACTGTACCCGCATCTCCTGCGGGCAGTTTTGCTTGCATGCATTTCCTCACACAAACCCCAGAATGCTGGCTGAGCCCAAGAGAACAGCAAAAATAAACCTCAACTCACTTGGCCCTCACTTGGTCATCCTTCTGGAGAGGAGTGACACCCCTGCTCTCGCCGACTTTGGGGACAGAGAACTCCGGGCTTCCCTCTCCCTGGCTGTGGCCTCACTGCACACTCTCCCCCACCTTCTCCTGAACTTCTTCCCTTTGCACCAGATCATCTTCCTGGAGACCCCAGAGGGAGCTCTGTCTCTTTCCCTCCCGCTGATGACTTTCCAGGCTATAATGTCAGCGGGTGCGGCCTGTCTGTTTGTCCTGTAAAGAAAGTACTTCCGGGGCCCGAGGGATTGTACCATGGGAAGGCGCTTGCCTTCTGCATGGCCAACCCGGGTTTGATCCCTGGCCCCACATACGGTTCCCCAAGCCCCACCAGAAATCATCCCTGAGCACAGAACCAGGAGCAAGTCCTGAGCACAGCCAGGTATGGCCCAAACCCCTTAAAAATAAATGAATAAATAAAACAAAAGGCAGCACTTTTGCCTTTTCTACTAGCCGAAGACAAGCGATGGCAATCTTAGGAGGCTGGGAGGGCAGCAGAGATGGGAGAGAGGAGCGTTTTCGCCTGCGGCCATGACATGGGCATCTGCAGGAAGGGAGGACCCTGGGTCCACGTGCTTCAGAGTAAAGGCCTGAACTTGTGGGAGGTGCAGTCGTGGCAAGGGTAGAGCGTGGCTCTCTGGGGACTCAGGAGACACTTCTCAGTGCACGGTCATTGTGCGTGTTCAGGTGCTTGGCGTCACCTGCAGACGTAACAAGAAGGTGGAGCCGTTAAAATGAATTCCAGGGCATTCCAGGGCCGGAGCAATAGTACAGCGGGTAGGGCATTTGCCTTGCACGTGGTAGACCCAGGATCGATCCCCGGCATCCCATATGGTCCCCACCAAGCACCGCCAGGAGTAATTCCTGAGTGCAGAGCCAGAAGTAACCCCTGTGCATCTCCGGGTGTGATCCTAAAAAGAAAAAAAAATGAATTCCAGGGCCCGGGCAATAGTACAGCAGACAGCAAGTAGAGCATTTAGACAGCAAGTAGTTGCATGTGGTCAACCCAGGTTCAATCCCCGGCATTCCATCTAGTTCCCACCAAGCACTGCCAGGAGTAATTCCTGAGTGCAGAGCCAGGAGTAGCCCCTGAGCATTGCCAGGTGTGACCTCAAAAACCAAATAAATAAATAGCCCAGCAAACTACTGAGAGTATCTTCCCCACATGGCATAGCCTGGCAAGCTACCCGTGATGTATTTGATATGCCAAACACAGTAACAAGTGTCACAATGGAGATGTTACTGGGCCGGCATGAGCAAATCAATGAATAATGGGAGGACAGTGACAGTGAATTCCATAGGGGGGAAAAAACTGCCCTGCATGTCCAAACGGATCCCACACCCTCGACCACTCAACTCCGTGGATGATGCTCATCACTCAGCCAGTGTCTGTGCTCTGGGAGGGCCCTGGGTGGGCACCTGCCTGTAAAGCGGTGGGTGTGCCTCGGGCCCTCAGCAGAAGAGAAAGTAAGGAGAGATGTATGTGGACAGACTGGCGTCCGAGTCCCAGGAGACCTCCCGGCAGGCTCGAATACCGAGCACTCAACTGAGAGTTCCCCTGCCACCTCCGTGGCCTAAACAGAACAGGCAAAGCCTGAATGAGTATTCACTGGACTGTGTGGACCAGCAGCGCCACCCTCCTCCCAGCCTCTTACCGCAGCCTTTGGACCCTCTCAGGGAAACTGGGGGGCTTGTTCTGGTGCTGGCAGCCTCCCAAACCCCACCAGGCAGTAATATATTCCTCGCCTACTTCCGCCTGACACAGCCGCCCGTTAGCCCAGAGAGAGACGGATACTGCTCAGGGCAAACCTCCTGGGAGTTTTGGTCCCTCTGGTCAGTGCTTAGACCATCCAGTAGCAGAGGGACGATGAGGGATCCCGTGGACTGTTTGAGACCAGCACCGCATGCTGGGACCCCACCAGGGGAGATTTGCTGCCGGCACCTGTTCTAGCGTCCCATTTCCACTTTGTGACGGACCCGATTCGCCTCTGAAGTTTTCTGCCTCCTTCTGCCCCTCAGGAATCCCAATGCTGAAGATCGTGTTTTCTGGCCATGAGCATCTGTCTCTCATCTCCGTGCCCTTGCTCATCTACCACCCAGTGCAAATCCTGCTGGGAAGCGTGCTGGTGCCAACCATCAAGTCATGGATGGTCTCCAGGCAGAAGGTAGGACACCAGCGAGATGGGTGTGGGGCACCATCACAGGGAAAGCTTGGCATCGCTCATGCCCTCATGCCCCGGTCCTTCCTCGGCAGAATGCTGGGATAACGATTCAACTGATCCACTTCCATTGGGCAGAGTTGCATATTTTATCTTGCTATCGGAGTACAACTTGCAGTTAACAGTGAAGTTTGAAAAAGAACGTGCTAGTCCTCCCAGAGATGAAATGGAATTGTGGAGAGCAAGGAGATTCAGTCACCATCCTAGAGTACATATACCCCTGACTCCGGGAACACCATCCTTACCCGCCTCCCAGCTAGTCTACGCACCGTGAGGTCTTCCTGTTCCCCCACGTGTATGGCCAGACTGATTCACAACACCATCCGTTAATGATGGTGTCACATACACATTGTTCCAGCTCCCATCTACCAGCTGGGCATCTTCCCGCTCTCCCCCACCATCCAGAGGTTCCCTCACTCCTGCCCGCAGGTAAGCTCAGTTCTTAGACCAGGTTCCCAGCAATGCCGGGATGGCCACGGAGTCATCACGTTGGTTAGAAACGCTCTATGGGCAGGTCTTGGTGTCCCCCTGGCAGCACGGATGCTCTGGGGGGGTCCCTGATGCTTTCGCCTCTTTGTGAATATTGTCTACCGCTGAGCTTGTGCTGTCGTCTCTTACAGGGCGTGAAGCTGACCAGGCCAACGGTATAACGGAGGAGGCGCCCTGGATGCCATGATGTAGATATGTAGACATGGACTTGTGAAAGTCGCCTCGATGCATATTTTATTTTTTTACACACACACACACACACACACACACACACACGAAAGAGAAAGAGAGAGAGAGCTGTTTAAGTGCCTTAAACTGTCTTTGACCAGAGCATTCCTTCCAAAAACAGACTTTGTGACTGCCAGAGGGTAGTACCGTATTTCAGTTGTTTGATGAATGTCTTGCCTCGCGCAGGAGACAGTTTTCATCAGCGACAGCAGCAAACATGCCTTCTTCCTCCCACCTCGTGGGCATCACGACTCTGCCATTGTTCCCGTTCGTACGTTGGAAATGAGGCCACACCCCCTTCTGATGCAGCGAGATTTTTCTTTTTCCCAAAGTCCTACTCACAAATACTTTGATTTACTGTGCGATTCTTTTTTTTTTTTCCCTACCACTGTGACATGCCTCTTTATCAACTCAGCAGGAGGAACAGAGTGAGGAGATGCTTTCAAAGCCTGTTCCTGGCATTTCTTGACATCCTGTTTTGAAACATTCCTTCAAAAGGTTTCCACACGGAATTCCGCAAAGTCCCGTTCCAGGAGAGTGCGGCCTTCCGTTTATCCAATGCGGCTTCAAAGGAAGGGTCTGATATTTGGGTTAGGGATAAAGGAAGGGAGGTTTTGAGATGAAATATACGGGGTTTGGTTTTGAAGATTGTTCAGATTATGTTTCATGTGGGTTTCCTTTTTCTCCCATGATTTCTTTTTTTAATCTTTTTATTTTTGTTTTGTTTTGTTGGGGGGGGGGCCCACACCCAGTGGTGCTCAGGGCTTACTCCTGGCTCTGTGCTCAGGGATCAATCCTGGCGGTGCTCGGGGGACCATAAGTGTTGCCAGGGAATTGAGCCGGGGTCAGCCGCTGTAAGGCCTTTCCCAGTATACTATCTCTCCGGCCCTCCCGTTTCTTCTTCTCCTTACCTGTTCGCCGTGGCAGACTCGTCACAGCCAACCATAAGCGCAAAAATGTTACAGTCCGTTTGAGAGCGGCCGCGGCTCATGTCACACCCACAACTGAGACCAGAACGTTTTCCTGTTACTCAGACGTGCCCGAATGCAGAGTGTCCCTCGCAGAAGCAGCCTGTTACATTCTTGAATTAAGCACACTTCAGAGAAAGGCAGAGGAGACGCGTTATTAACGACGACTGCCTTGGCAGAGTTGACGAGTGGTTGCAACATATTTTCTCTATGGAATCATACTGCTCTTATGAATAAATGAAAACAAAGAGGTCCCCGGTGCCGATCAATGTTCCGCATACACATTCTGTCTAGCCAGATGGGAAGAAAACTGGACACAAAAATTACAAAGCCAGTCACTGACCAAAAGAGCAAGCAACATTAGTTCCCGGTTGGGCCTCAGCTTTCTACGAAGTGTCCAAGATTTGCTTCCATGTGGCTGAAAGAGGAAGAGACTAAACCATATGTAGGACTGGGGACACTTCCTGTCCACCACTCTGCCCCGTCGTCTCTGCAGCCCCTTACTTGATTCCGCAAAACAATTGTGGCATCCTGGGTCGCACCGAGGCCACGTTGTTCTCGGCCCGTTCTGTTGTGGTGGCCAGCAGAGTGGTCACGGACCTCTGAAACTTACCACACAGTTCAGTGGCCTAAATGTCCATGAAGTTTTTCCTACTAGGCATCCCCTTGTGTTATTTGGACAGATTTCAAGATCTCTGAGCCTCATAAATGTCTTTTTTCTTGTTGGTTTTGTTTGGGAGGAGGGGGGGACGGAGAGGGGGCGATTTGGAGGCCACACCCAGTGGAGCGCAGGGGTTCTTCCTGGCTTCTGGAAGCAATTCCTGGCTCAGGAATTACTCCTGGTAGTGTTGAGGACCATATGGGATCCCGGGAATCGAACCCGGGTGAACCACGTGCAAGGCAAACGCCCTACCTACTGTATACTGTCTTTCCAGCCCCTGAACCTCACAGTATAAAGCTGAAAGGCCAGTGCCAAACCTTGCAAGAAAAGAAATTCACGCACGACAGTCTGTCAAGATCTCTGTGGTGAAACTTCTGTGTGTGTCTGAAACTATGATTCTCTTTGCTCGATCTTTCGGATCAAGATTTCTGTCTGGAACACAGAAAGGCGTTTCTGGGTCGTTCCTGCAAGTTTCTTTGGGTTTCATTGTCAGTGGACTATCTGTCTATCTGTCTGTCTCTCTGTCTGAACTCATAAAGATCTTTCTCCCTCGCATTTTCATACTGATTTTTCCTCCCAACGTATCTACCTCTTTCGTCTTAACACCTATAGTAGGTGTGATTTGGGGATAAAATTCAACCAGAAACTCTAGAACATTTTATCTTTCGCTTTAAAAAATGTGCTTTGTCTTCAAATAACCTTCAGAGAATGAATCTCAGCGGCTTTTGTTTATACCGCTTTGTTTTTTTTTTTTTACTCACTTGCTGTGGCATACTCCCCCATAAAAGAAAAATCACAAAGTCAAATTTTATGTTTAATTCCAGATTATTGGGACCTAATTATCCATGTCGTAAAGTGGCTTTGTTTCTGTTCCATCAAGCTCTCCCTGTATGCAGTTGTTTTGTCTAAATGTATTTATGGAAGAAATATGTTATATTTATTTCTCCACCTGGATTTTTTTAAGCAGTTGTTACGAAATTTAATTTTTTTAAATGGGCGATAGTGTTCATCTGTCCACGCATTTTCTTTTCTAACTTTAACTTTTTGTGGGTTTGTAAAAACTAATTCTTCTATTCTGTTTAAAACTAACATACTCTGGCTAATTGATGTTCAGTGTTTGTTTATGCTAAATACCAAAATTTTTTTAAAAGACCGGTGAGTAATAAAATGGATTATTTATGATGAATGGGAGATGAAAGCAATTCTATGATTAAACAAAGATGTTTCCAGAATCACCTGAGAATACGTGGTGTATTTTTAACTTCATTTCAGGTGCCTCCTTCAAGCTTCACACAGTCTCTAGAAAGTTCTCCCACTTCCTCCCAGCCCTGAATCGCTTGTAGTTGAAAAGACATGAGCAGCATCGTTTCCCAGTACCCCCCAAATCCCCCGACCCCAGGACAGAACCCCAGAAAAAGCCCTGGCTTTGGCATTGGTGCCTCCGAGTCAAAGTCCGAAAGGGAACAATTTCAGTAGGTGAACTGAATCTTCCCTGCTTGCTGCCCGCTGGAGGGATGAATGAAGCCTTAGAACCTTTGCAAACCCAGCATTCGTTCCCTCCTGGAGGACTCCTGCCTTTTGTGCTCATTTTCCTGGCCTTGGCTTAGGAATCTTCTCCCTGGAAACGGGGACAGACCACCTCCTCTCGGGAAACCAGTGACTCGACCTGGGTGTTTTTTTGTTTGTTTGCTTGCTTGCTTGCTTTGGGGATCACACCCAGCGATTCTCAGGGGTTCCTCCTGGCTCTGCACTCAGGAATTACTCCTGGCAGTGCTCGGGGGACCATATGGGATGCCAGGGATCGAACCCGGGTTGGCCACATGCAAGGCAAACGCCCTCCTCTCTCTACGATTGCTCCCGCCCCAGTGACTCAACTTGTTCCCAGGACACACCACAGACCGGGATCCCGAAGCCTCTTCTGCATCGCTCTGCGTTTCTCCCTTCCCCCACCCCGGGCCCATCCCCACAGTGCCACCCAAGCTCCTGAGAGCAGCCCCACACATCTGACTCCTGGATCTGGGCCAGCCCTCTTGGCCCTTGTTTCCACTGTCTTTGGGCCTTAGTCTCATGCGGGTGGCGGAGAGGGGAGGGCAGTTAGCTTAGAGAAGTCCACTCTGACAGCGACGGCTGGAAATGGTTGCTCTGGGCAGGGACTGAGTCCCGGAAGTAGGTAAGGGGATAAACAGGATAACCTTTGGGCATCTGTATTGAAGACCACGATGCCCAACAGGGGGGAGAGAGAGAGAGAGAGGAGAAGGGGAGAGAGAGAGCTGCCACAAGGGACATTGATGGTGGGAAATATGCCACTGTCTACAGGACATCTGAGGCCATGGGACATCAACTATTGGGGTCCCCAGAGTGAGGCGCCTCCTCTCCATGGCCGGCCCATCTCCTTGCCCCCACAGCTCTGTGCTGGCTGGGCCTGGGCGGGCACAACCCAAGGCCTCACCCATCTGCCCAGAAAGCCGAGTGAGACCTGCACGAGCCCTGGGCTGCCCCCCCCCCCCCCCCCGGGGTGTTCCTGAATTCACACTCTGCCTACGGCCAAGGCTCACGAAATGAGACTAAGGGCGATTGGGAGAAACACGGTGGAGAATATTCCAGCGCCAGCAGCCTGAGAAGATGGGGACTGGTCCCCTCAACCATCTTCCTCTCAGGCTGGGACTTGGAGGGCAGAAAGGGCAGGTGGAGAATGGAAAGCAAAGAAAAACAGGGGTGTGGAGTTAGCAGGCAGAAGGCACTCAATTCCCAACATCCTGCTGCCGTCAGTGGATGTGCTGGAGAGGACATGGGCCCCGGGGCCACTCATCTGACTCCTGACCCTCAGCAAAGACCTGTTAGGAAGGGCAGCCTGGGTCAGACCTCTGGCCTCTGTACGTGCAAAGGGCCTGAGGTCAGGGCGACATTGGCACCTCGCCCCAAGGCCTTCCCTCTCCAATCCCGGGCACTCGCCAACCCCAGCCTGTCTATGGGGCAAAGGCATCCATGCGTCACGACACACAGGCAGGCCAGCAGCTGTGTCCAGGGAGCCTGACGGCTGGGCCTTTTACCTCTGGGTCACTGGTTCGCATCCAGCCAGGCCTTACCTGACAGAAAATCATTACCAGCTCCTGTTGGGCCACCTGACAGATGGAAATGACTTTCTGTCATCCCCTTCCACGGGGCAGTGTCCACAGCCCACTTGGCACGGAAGATGCAGGGACAGTCACGGGGTCTCCCCCTCTGGGTGAGGGGGCCTGATGGTTCCCCGCTTTCACGAGCTCGGTGGGAAACCAGGTTGGGGGGTTCTGCCCGGAAGGCACTGCTGCTCTGTGAGCTGGAGACTTTGGGGGGCTGCTGG